GGAAGAACTTCTCTTTCGATATTAATGGGCACTTTTTTTTCACCTTTTATGTTTCATTTACACATGAGCAGTTTGACGGGCCCTACTTTGTTCATGAATAAATTATTCAATTTTTCGACTCGCCTTGCTACCCCCGGAATCGATATCCACGGGGGCTGGACGGTTAGTATGTTCGTGGAGGAGTCGTTGATTTACCTGATAAATCGGCGAGTAACAGTTGGTGTCACTCTTCAAATGTAAAACGAGCGATTGGAAGTACACTGGGAGGAAAAATAGTTTTTTGAGAATTACGGGTTCAGTTGTGTCGAGAAACTCGTGGTTCGAAAGTTGACGAGAATGAAACATCTTATACTGAGAAGGAAAAAACTTTTGGAATATTTAGAAATTTGTGGAAATTTACTTCAGGTATTTATGGTGGGGTTGGCCATGTAGGAGGTGAGACGGAGGGGAATCTATTGGTCTCTCGCAGAAAACCAATCGCTGAACAAAAAAAAAACGATATTTCAATTACAAATTTTCAATCTGTTTCGACCATTTTTGTGTTCGAAATATTTTTTTAATAACTTTTCTATTTCTTCCCACATATTTCAAGCCTTCTTTTATTTTTCTAGCTTGTCTTTTGGATAATTGGAAAATAATTAATGTGGATAGAAAAAGTGACAACGTCGTGCCGCTCGAGGCACAAGTTGGCAGCACTGATTCACTCAGCTGTTATGTTCTTCCCATAGCGAAATGTATCGTTACAACTCCATTCGTATTTTCCGCCCTTACCCGTCCACGATTTCTAACCTCGACGTTGTCGCCATTCCAAGTTGCGCACGCAGAATTTCTATTTTTCATGAGCTTTTTAATTATCCCTTCTAAACAATTCTCCCTGAAAGCTCCACCCAAGTGCGAAATTTCAGAAAAATGGCGAAAATTTCCTCCTTTTATCCCCTTGAATCGAATTTAATGTCTCTCTCTGTCGATGAAATTTCAATTTTTCTCTGATAATATTCCACATTTAGAGAAAGAATGTCTCGAGTTCACTTCAAATTAACTTCCATTATATAAATATTTTCCCCGGCCCAATTAATTAATTTTCCACCATTTATAAAAACAAGAAATTACGTATCTAATATTCCCATAAAATCTTCATATCCCACGATGGAAAAAACCACAAAAACCTTCGGTTCAACAACTCCCTGATTCAGCGTAAAAAGAATCGGAATAAAAAAATGAAAAATTGAAAAAAATCTGTAAATCACTCAGATTCCCGATGACATTTACGAACCCCAGAAGAAGAATGTTGGCTCTTCCTCATCCGTGAATCGGATGACTGAACCATATGGAAGACACTCCTGAACCCCTCCTTGAGATACCTGTAACGAATGGCAACCAACAGATAGCAGTAAAAAATATCCACAAGAGAGAGAGAAAAAAAATGATAAAAATGATGGTGAAGAGAAAAGAGATGAGAATAGAGAGGCAGAAGCTTCGAGAGTGAGAGGTTTTTTGCAGACGCGGAGGAGTTGTAAATCATAATTTTATGAGGCACCCCATGGCCGATTCCATGGCACAAGAAGGCCACGGGAGAATGAAGCAGAATGGAATATGAACTGTGAACCGATGCATGCCTTTTGCTTTATATACACCCTCATTCCTCCCCTGGGCCTGCGATTCCTTCGGCGTTTTACGACTTTGTAATTACGTACTGTGGCAAAATTAATACATAGATGTGTATGCAAGACACTCCGGGGTACAAAGAGAAGAGGGAGCCGGAGTCGAAAATTGTCGTCATACGCTAACTCCGCAAGTTCACTGGTTTTTGATCGCAGACTTAATTCTGAACGCTTTCACCCTACGTGAGTCGGTAATACGTCTGGTTTTAGTCGGTTTTTGGTCGTCTCTTTTCGAATAAATTGAAAATGGATAAATGAACAAACGAATGAATTGTTAATAATAAACTAATCGAGGCGATCACTTCCGTTCATTTTACATTATCATAATCTAGGGAACAATAAAGGGGGAGGGATAGTCAGTTTGTATTGATACCTCAATTAATACAGATCGTTAGGTTTTCATTGTCAGCTTTATCAGATAATTATAACATTCATCATATTTTCGGTCGAGAATTGCAATGATTTCTTTATTATATAGTCACTCTAATAGTATAGTAATATTGGTACTGTTGATCGTTGTTAACTCGGGACTTGGAAGAATCTCCAAGATACTTCACTCGGCGTTCGTCGGTATTACGTCTCCTTTCTATCTTAGGTTGCAGAATTCAACTTTACTCGGAGTTATTCAGACCTTGAACAACATTTTGAACAAAAGATCCAGCAGATGATCTCGACTTTGATATTTTCAACTGTTACATCTCTTGATCCACACTATTTCACAATTTCTCGCTCGATATCGAGCTCCGGAGATCGATCCCAGGTGATAAAATGAAGAGATCTCACACCACCGTGACAAATTGAATTTATGCCGGGAATTTAAGAGCGTCCTCGATCGATAGTTAAAACCTCTTTAAAAGGCGCAGAAAAAGAAATATTCGTAATAAAAGGGAGGGTAAAAAAAACTTGTACGACGGTTGGAGAACATGAAAGAAACTCGAGCGGGTCGTAAAGAGGTGAATGAGAAGGCAAAAGTACATGGGAGTCGAGGCCCTCGATTGCGTGGCATTGATAATACCAGAGCGACAGTGGAAATGCATGACACCGGGGCACGTTAAAAACCCCTCATTTCACCTAATATTCCCACGATATTCTTTATCATCCATTGGATGCAATCAATTTTGCGAACATTGATCGCAATTGGTGACGACCTGCGCTTATTTGCGTGTTTCCCGGTCGGATAGTCCTCGGGAGGGAGTTTTTTGGGCGCAATATCAACTTTAGTTTCCGAATATTTTCTCGAGAAAACGATTTTTGAAAAAATGCGTTCTCTCGTACACATAACCGTAGGGGAGGCTGGGGTAAAACGGACACTTTTGACTTTTTTTAAAATGTTGATGAGGGGTTCAAATGGTGATACAATTTATTAATTTTTTTTTCTCGATAAAATTGACTGACGTGAACTCATTCCCAGTCTCACCTTAAACTCATCACACCATATTCCGAATGCACTAGACTATTGAAAATAGCCTTCACCTCCGTCTCTCCGTCACCCCAAGCGGAACCCCTCATTTTTTCCCTCTCCCCCTCCCCCGCCGGAGCTTTAACGAGCCTTGGCCAGCCCCGTACCGCGAAGCGAGAAAGAAACACATTTTTACTCGTCTTTTTTCGTCATATGAATATACGACGAGGAATTCAGGACATTTACTATAACGTAACTAAGAGAACTTGCTCGTACGACGGTTGCACGTATGAAAACTACGTCCCTCAGTTTCATTTGACTGACTTTACGACAGAAGACATAAAATGGATTTTACTGTCGGCTAGTTCGCCAGTTCTCGAGTTGGTAACATTGCTTTTGGTTAAGGATAATACATATATACAACGTTACCCCTTCCCGCACCTCTTCCCTTTTATACTCTCAACTCGGTCTCTTTTATTCACAGAATGCGCCTGGTACACTTCTCCCTTTCAAATCTCGTTGATGCCACCCCCCCCCCTCACACCGCCCCTCGCTCCGTCTTCATCCACAGCTTCCTTCTGGTATTTTCGCATCTCTCGGATAGCTCTTCTCTGTCGCTGTTCATCGCCCATTGGGACACGGAACACACTGGGAATTTTTCATAGTTCACGGCGGGAAAATATTGTCTACTGGGTAATTTATGCCGTGGGGGGTAATGGTAAAAATTATCGTGAGTCGGTTTCGTGGAAGGCACTTAGTGGGTTTAATTTGTTATTTTGAATACTTGGGTGTCTGTTTTATTTGCTTCGAGATGGATTTTAACATTCAACATTTTATGGAAAGATCAATGGAAACTTGAATTTTAATGCAATTATTACTTGGGAATTTAAATAAGTTGGGAAATGCTCAAAAATTCGAAATTTCATTGAATTTTCTGTCGAATGTAAAATTTCATCATTTTTTCTTTGAAATTTAAATTAGTGTCAAATATTTTTCACAAATGTGTAATTACATCACAAAGAATAATGGTAAAAATCATCGTGAGTCGGTTTGTCGAAGGCACTTAGTGATTTTAATTTGTTATTTTAACTACTTGAGTGTCTTTTTTATTATGTCGCTGATGGATTATAAAATTTTATGGAAAAATCAATGGCAAATTGAATTTCAATCCAATTATTCCTTGAAAGCTCATAAAAATCTGGAAAATTCAGGAAAATATATTCACGAATTTTCCATTAATTGATAACTCTGCGTAATTTGATGCTGAATACTCATGTGTTGATTGAAGATTCATGTAATTTGGGGAATACCCCCCCCCCGCGCTGCTCAATAAATTTTTTTTAATGAAATTCGGAATTTCATAGAATTTTCAGTGAAATCTGAAATTTCCTCGTTTTTCCCCTGGAATTGAAATTAATTTGAAATATTCTCCACAAATTTGTAATTTACATGACAAACAATAAAATGTCAATTTACGATTTCAAATTCCTGTCTCTTCTACTATCGCACTAATGGATTATAAAATTCAACAGTTTATGGAAAAATCAATGGAAACCTGCGCTTCAATCCAATTATTCCTTGAAAGCTCATAAAAATCCGGAAAATTCAGACGAATATATTCACTAATTTTCAATTAATTAAAAACTCTGTGTAATTTTATGACTCTATAACTCCCCATAATTTTAAGTTTGGGAATACTCACCCCCATTGACTCCCCAAAATAATAAATTTCGGAACTTCGTCATTTTTCCCCTCGGATTGAATTCAGTGTCCAATATTCTCCACAAATGTATAATTTCCATCACAAAAAATAATGGTAAAAATAATCGTGAGTCGGTTTGAGTCAGGCACTTAGTGATTTTAATTTCCCATTTTGAATACTTGAGTGTCTCTTTTATTATCTCACTAATGGTTTGTATAATTTTTGTTTGTCATTGCAGATTACCGTGAAGTCAATCAAAAAAGCTCGTAAGAGAGGTCAGAGGCTGAGTCTGAGTAAAAGGAAAAATAAAAATACGGTGACTTAAGTAATCAAACGAGGTGCATAATGAATAGTTGGGAGGGTTTTTTCTTTTTTATCGTTATTCCGACTGCAAATCATTTCAACTCGGTGTTAATATACAGATAATACTGGAAAGAGGGAAAAAAAGAATGAGGATGAACACACTCATAACTACTTTCAGTGTAAATTGAATGCAATAATAAAAATGGTAATAGTAGATTTTTTTTATTGACAATGGGACATTTGCAAAGTCACAAAAATTTATCTCTTTTTCTTTTCTGTGTTTTTTTTTTCTCTTTCGTTGTGATATTGGTGCGAAAATGTCCCACTCAAAGTGCTGTATCTAGCTTCACCGTACTTCTTCGACAATTACGATAGTTATTGAATGATAATAATTGATAACGCGCTGTATTAAACGTGATTATAAGTTATGTCACAGTTTTGACGTATGTACAGATATATTGTCAGTTAGTCTATTGAAGAAAAAAAATAAGAAATCCGCGAAATTTTTTTATTTCGATTGACAGAGTTTAGGAAAATGTTTAACTAGACTTCCCTTTATGTTCTAATTGTTATAATTTTTTACGAACGATGGTTTATTGTTTATTCAGCTCAACGTAAATCGATGTTGAAGGTTCTTCATGATCTGATAGCCCTCTATGAGTGAAATAAAACAGCTATATTTTTATTAAAAAATAAAAAGCAATTCGTGTTTTATCTCAAACGGTATTTCAATGTGCAACTCACAGAGTGTATTTTAATCGGCGAAATTGCGACGATAAATTTATCTCTTAAAGTTTAGATTTCAAGTGAAAAATACATTGGAGCTGTTGAAATGAGCCAGTGGTGTGTGTTACATTGCCAAGTACGGGTTTCTATAATTAAAAAGAAATTTATAATCTTCATTGTATTTCACACCTCTTCTGACGATGGCAAGAGTTACTCCTATTACATAATTAAAATTGTTCTAATCGTAACTGACTCTGATGATGATTCAGTGTTTCAGCAACACTAAATTGTGAAACATGTTGGCATTATGCACATTAGTTATAAATTCAAAATGTGTTGCACCCTGCAACGTGTCATGGTCGTTGAGACATTAAAATCCGAGGGCAATTGATTATAATTTTTTTTCCTTGTTCAGTAATGGTTTTTATTCAGTCACTTGTAGCGATGCGAATTATCCAGATGAGTAGAAAAATTGATGAAAACAATAATGAGATATTGGAAGAGAAAAAGACAAGCGGCAGAATTATCGCATTATTTTTTGTTCTCATTTTCTCCAATGGGGAACTTGCATGAAGTTCAGTTTTTTTATTAGTTCTACTATATATACCTTTCATTTATTTTTGATTGTTCTCTCCACTGAAAATAGCAACAATTGCGATTTTTCGAATGTTTTCAGGCGATAAATACGGGCAAATAATCTCGAGGTAAAGAATCACCCGAGTTCCCTATTGAGAAACGTCTATGTACCTATTTTATCAATCTCTACCTTGTAATTCTTTCATTCAAACTATTATAGTTATTTATTGCTAAATACTTCTGTAAACGATTGTGAGATATCATTGAATGGGCGTCTTAGGCCACTCTCATGTTTACTATCTATAAAGCGCAGTGTGCACAAGTCCATGCTGAAGAGACTGTCAAAAAAAGTCCAGTGAAACTTTAATTATAAAGACAAAAACCAAGTTGAACCCATAATCCTTAAATGCTGTAGGAACATAAAGCTTGGAAAATAAAAAATAAGAAAAACAAAACGTTTATTGTGAATTTCAATGTATTTAAGGCATTAATCATGATAATTGTTGAATTATAGTATGCGATGTAATAAAAAAAATCGTTTCTATCTGAATACGAACACCATTATCACAAGTTTATTCGCAAAACCTGCCAAGAATAAACCGGGTAAGTATTAATTTTTATTTAATAACAATAATCAAATGTTTAAACAAAAAACATGCGGCATAATTTTTTTGTCCTTTTATCCAATGGGAAACTCGCATGATGTTAAATTTTTTTTAAAAGTCCAATGAAACTTTAATATAACAGAAAAAAACCGGGGTGAACCCATAATCCTTAAATCCTATAGGAACATAAAGCTTGGAAAATAAAAAATAAGAAAAATAGAACGTCTATTGTGAATTTCAATGTATTTAAGGCATTAATCATGATAATTGTTGAATTATAGTATACGATGTAATAAAAAAAATCGTTTCTATATGAACACGAACACCATTATCACAAGTTTATTCGCGAAACCTACCAAGAATCAACCGTAAGTACTAATTTTTTATTTAATAGCAATAATCAAATGTTTAAACAGAAAAAACATGCGGCATAATTTTTTTTGTCCTTTTATCCAATGGGAAACTCGCATGATGTTAAATTTTTTTTTAAAGTCCAATGAAACTTTAATATAACAGAAAAAAACCGGGGTGAACCCATAATCCTTAAATGCTGTAGGAACATAAAGCTTGGAAAATAAAAAATAAGAAAAACAAAACGTTTATTGTGAATTTCAATGTATTTAAGGCATTAATCATGATAATTGTTGAATTATAGTATACGATGTAATAAAAAAAATCGTTTCTATCTGAACACGAACACCATTATCACAAGTTTATTCGCGAAACCTACCAAGAATCAACCGTAAGTACTAATTTTTTATTTAATAGCAATAATCAAATGTTTAAACAGAAAAAACATGCGGCATAATTTTTTTTGTCCTTTTATCCAATGGGAAACTCGCATGATGTTAAATTTTTTTTTAAAGTCCAATGAAACTTTAATATAACAGAAAAAAACCGGGGTGAACCCATAATCCTTAAATCCTATAGGAACATAAAGCTTGGAAAATAAAAAATAAGAAAAATAGACCGTCTATTGTGAATTTCAATGTATTTATCATTAATCATGATAATTGTTGAATTATAGTATACGATGTAATAAAAAAAATCGTTTCTATATGAACACGAACACCATTATCACAAGTTTATTCGCGAAACCTACCAAGAATCAACCGTAAGTACTAATTTTTTATTTAATAGCAATAATCAAATGTTTGAAGAGGAAAAACATGCGGCATGATTTTTTATTCTCCTTTTGAAATTTCAACATAATAAAGAAAAAAAACCAGGTTGAGCCCATAATCCTTAAATGCCGTACGAACATAAAGCCTGGAAAAGTAAAAAATCACAAAAACAAAACGTTTATTATGAATTTCAATGTATTTAATGCATTAATCATGATAATTATCGAACTACAGTATACGATATAATAAAAAAAAATGCGTTTCTATTTCAACACAAGCGCCATTATCACAAATTTATTCGGAAAACCCGCAACGAATAAACCCCAGGTAAGCATTAATTTTTGATTTAACGACTGTACGACGACTTAATCATTTTCAAATGTAAACTGTGGAAAAAGTAATGAGTGCAAAAAAGTTGAGCATTAAAAGTGTTTTTCCTGCGTCAATCAATGATAAAAATCCATTTAAATCGCAATGATTTTCAATCCGTCGTATGATCGTACCACGCGTGGAGCCCACAGTATTTTCAAAGCACTCCCTCCCCCTCCCTTCGCCCGACACCTGAGCAATGTATTTACCTGTAAAGGATTTGAAGGAAAGAAAAAACGAATGAAGGAAAGAAAAAAAAACTGAAAAATAAAATAACACCCGACGAGATCGCGTCGTAACCGTCGTTGAGTGAGCGCGGATTCACGCAGGCCTATAAAAGTCTTCGTAACGTTTAACTGCCCGCTCTCCACATAAACCAACGACTATATTGCTTAGATAGCACAGAAATATACGGCAACAAGCATGAGGCTGACTGCCAATCGTTTATTCGTCTCCACGCAACACTCTCGAGGTGCCCCACCAACTTAAAGCCCAATCTTCATAGATTTTTTTATGGCTATTTTCTTACCAGCAGCCATTGAACAGTTGCTTTATTATTTTTACGATATTTTCATAATTTTTTTTTACGCTCGCACTCTTCCGTGATAAAGATGAATCTGCTATCGATGAGTTGTTCAACACGTTTTAAAAATTCACAGGCGCACTTTATTTCACTGCAAATAGCGCTGAATTGGCCAGTGAAAAAGGCATTCGTGTGGAAATAATAATCAAATTTTATTAATAATTCTGCTGTATACTTATCTAATTTCATTTCAACTGACGGCCCATTTCACGTTTGAGGGGACTTTCAGCTACTGCTGAAAACAACTTGCGCTCGTATGTAAGAATGTAATGATTGGAGCTTTAATAACTGGGGGGCATGAACGTTATGGACGTAAATGTGATACTTTTACGGGTTTCCGTTGAAATTAGTCATTAGCGGTTGTTACGTATTGCCTTATATCGCGATTATTTATTGTCTCATTATTTTCGGGGTATTAGGGGGCAGTTTAAACACATGTTAAAGACGATTTTCAGTCGTTCATTCGCTAGTTACGGGAGATATAATTAGGGTATTATTCCTGGGTGACGGTCTGTTTTCGCTGTTCGAATTCAAACCATTTCAGGGTTGACTCTTCGTCGGTAAAGGGGTGAATCATTTATCCGGACAGGATAAGGTAAAGATCCTTGGCGGACATTGGCATAAGCACAATTTTGAATTTTGAATTTTCCGATTTACCAGGTTTATTAGCTATGAAATAAATATAATATCTAATATTGTTGGAATTATTATATGAGTGAGACGTAGATGAAGGCAAAAAGCCATCTCTAATGAGTTCATTTTTCTTGGTATGGATTGTATGTTTAATAACACCGGAGTCAGAGTGTCTATAAGAATTTTGTTTAGTCTCAGTAGAGTGGAGGAGTGGGATGAATGCCTCTTTATGGATCAGATTTTTGACCAGAGTTCGTCACCAATTTCTTTGTGTCGAATCAGTCTCTAGGAGAGCTTTGAAGAGTAAAGACGTGACCAAAGACGTGACTAAAGTAATGATTGATGCCGATCTGTGATCCTCGGCTTAGAGGGCAGTGCTGACCTGGGCCAGAAAAAAGTTGGGTCCGAGCCTAAATGTCCACATCTACTTGAGCACACGAATTTTCTCCACAAGAGGGCAGAGCACCGCTTTGAAGTCGACCCTCAGCAATGTGCGCGACGACTTTGTCCACATGAAAGACTGGCGCATCACTGAAAGTAGGGTAACCAGACCAATGGGTAGACACCGACCAAAAGATGAATGATTTCAATTTTTTTTAGTATTCTACTAGGGGGTCAACCCCGATATGACCCACATATAATCCCCGTATGACCTCTATGATCCTTATTCTGACCCTCGTGACCCTCATCATGCCCCTCGTGACCCTTATTTTGACCCTTAATTTTGGAGTCTCAATTTCGAGTACCAAATCTGCATCACCAGAAGTCAATTTGGATTTTTAGAATAGATACAGAGATGTAGAGAGCCTTATGTTGACCCTTGTGACCCTTAGATTCTGACCTCCATGACCTATATTTGGACCTTTAAGCTGACCTTTGTAATCCTTGATGATAAGTAAATAAAATAAAATTATTAAAAAAAATTTAATGAATTCAATTATCACATGCTACAGATGTTCCATTTCATTGACAGTTGAAACATTCGGCTCTTGACCCTTCGCCGATGAAGAAGTGGACTTCCCAGTCGACTGTACCTCGCGTAACTCTTGAGGAAATAGTTCCTGAAAAGACCGTCAGGGGAGAAAACACCCAGTGGTTACGTCTTCGCTGAGCAATCGAAGAGAAAAATGTTAACACCAATGTGATCAGAAATACCGTATAATCGAGCTATTCGTAGTGACATCAAAGCTACATCAAGTAGGATCTAATACTCACCAAGTAAGCAACACACAATCACCCTCACGACTGCTGAATACTTCATTTTTTCTGTTTCCTAGTTTTCTATAACCTGTAATCAATTGCAGCCATGAATCCATCAATATCAAAAAAGATACTGCAGTTCGAGGCCTACATAAACGACACACTGAAGTCCGACCTATCGAAATTATCCGACAAACTTGATGAGAAAAATTCGGATGTCGCTGAATTTCTCCAGCTGAAAAGCATCATAATGACCCTGAAGAATACAAAATCAAGTGAGACTGGATTTAAAACAAAAGTTGATATTGGAAATAATTTTTTTGTCCAGGCTAAAGTCGAGGATGCCTCGCAAATACTCGTAGACGTGGGCCTAGGCTATTACGTAGAATTTAGTCTCGATGATGCTTCATCGTTGATTGAAGTTAGAATTAAATTATTGGAGTTGCAGATTAAGAATTTGAGGACAGAGATCAGTAAGACTAATGCACACATAAAGCTACTCTTGATAGGTATCAGAGAGTTACAGGGGATCAAGTAGAGAATGCGATATTTTTTTTCAAATCACTTGATTCAGTGTGAAAGACGATTTAATTTTGTACAAATACCAAGTGGTGGTTGAAGCACAGCTAATAAACTCGTTCAACATGTTGTACCCCTAGACTTTGTGTTTGGCGGGCTGAAGATCACTCGTGCGGATTTTAAAAATCAGCCTCTCTGGCAAATTTCATCCACTCGAAATTTCCCACCAACTGGTGCGTCGCTTTTAATGTTGACGAGGAACTGCTTTATTTCAAGTACTTTATGCGACTACTTGCGCATAAATTAGCCTCTCTCTTATCAATTACGGGTTCCAATAAGCCACTTGCTCTCTCCAACATGAATTATCCCTTAAAGTCGATCAAAGCCTCATGAAAATGAAGAAACCATTCCCCAATTAACGAAAATTGTTGTTCCAGATTTAAAAACACATATTGTTTCAACATCTCCACGAGTAAACTGTATCATCATTTAAGTTACTTAATTTCTCATTGCTTTAATAAATTTTTATTTTCTTAAATTACCTTGCGTTGATTTTCCTCATTTCCTTTATTTCCTCTTATTAACAGACGATTATGTTATCCGCATTGACTCCCCAATCGACGTCGATACAGTACCGTCAGCGGTTAAGCTCACCCTCCGCGCGGTTGACACCGCATGAAATATGAATAATTCAAAAAATGATTCCTATCGTCATTACCCCAAATCCCCAAAATTAAAAATGCAAATAACTTCCGACGTCACGAATAATCCACAAATGTTGAAGACTTCTATTACAACTCTCATTACAAAGCCTCCACATTTGAAACATTGACGCACCTCCGAGTAACAAGCGCATCGGGGCATTGGTGGCTAATCCGCATTCAGATGAAACTACGCGGTGAAGCCATACGAAGATCCCCAGCCCGTACTCAATAGCCGGTAGCAGAACCCTTCCCGACTAACCCAGCAGTGCACATTCAGTCATTAGAAGACCTAGAGTCGAGTGAATTTTGGCAGCAACCCACCGAATCCATTGAGATTCGTCACCGAATGCTCCGGTGCATCAGCACGATTCAAATCCCCTCGGAACCCAAAAAATAACAGTTCCTTTCGTTCTTTTCGTGTTTCATTTCGTTAAAATCAGTCTTGAGTTGATGGCGAATTGTCGCGATAATCGATGTCTCATTTAATATGGATAAATCCCCAGGATTTGCTTAGACGTCTCTTCCGGGCGCTCAACAATTCCAAGACGGCCCTGCACTTAAGCCTTTACTGAGGGTGTATGCCCTGCCACTGTGTGCATCTAGCCAGTATTCCAACGCTTTACAAAACGATAACAACTCTAGTATCTAGGCCTGTGACACTTCTTACAAATAGACAAGTGGATATTCTTACATTATAACTACTTCAATATAAAACATTTCTCGGCTCGCGTGGAATACGCGCTACTCCCTGCATCCGTCGAGCATCTATTTGTGAGTATTTCACCTAGAATTACAACTGTCGATGTTCAATATTCACCGCCTCAATAGAACGATTAAATTACTCAGTCTGTTCGAATATTCTGACAGGTGCATCAATAATCCTTGCCACCACGAGGGGACTATTTTAGGTAGATCGGAGGAGCAGCGAGTCACGAAGAAAGTTAAATGTGTTACGCGAGAGGTGATATTAACCTAATGATTCAATTTTTAATTCAATAGGAATTTTTTTATTCATCATTAACTCGGTATCTAGGCCTGTGACACTTCTTGCAAATACACAAGTGGATGTTGTTACATTATAACTACTTCAATATAAAACATTTCTCGGCTCGCGTGGAATACGCGCTACTCCCTGCATCCGTCGAGCATCTATTTGTGAGTATTTCACCTAGAATTACAACTGTCGATGTTCAATATTCACCGCCTCAATAGAACGATTAAATTACTCAGTCTGTTCGAATATTCTGACAGGTGCATCAATAATCCTTGCCACCACGAGGGGACTATTTTAGGTAGATCGGGGGAGCAGCGAGAGTCACGAAGAAAGTTAAATGTGTTACGCGAGAGGTGATATTAATCTAATGATTCAATTTTTAATTCAATAAGGATTCTTTAATTCACCATTAACTCGATCATATCAATCGTTTCAGGTCAATACTTTTCAGGTAAGCAACCATCACCGGGAGTCATCAGCAAATCGTCATCCTTCTCTCTCAATCGAGCGAATCGTAAATTACGTCACGAAAGATCATTCTTTTCATTTGAATTTTTTTCTCTTCCACCTATGACACCTCTCCTCGTACATCGCGCTTCCTTCGTCCACCCCTCCCCCTTCTGATAACGATGGCACGCGTGATAGATGCCTTTACAGTATTTCCCATGGTACAGTCCCTCCCATCTTCACTGAGAGACAACAACAAAAAAAAGATAAACCGCCAAAGTGATGGATTAGCGGTCGCTGACCATCGCCTCGGTAAATTATGATCCCTCCCCCTCCGCCCTCCGCCTCTTTCATTCTCAGTGGTCATTTGAAAATACGCGTAATAACAGCTTAACGATGTGTGCCCACATACAATATCATGTGCACTCATCACCCGCACATTTTATCTGATACATAATTACATACACTGTTAGTAATTGTTGTCTGAATTTTCCGTGCCAATTTCCGGAAATTTTTATCGTCTTCCAATTCCGCTGAAATTTCAGGAAATCTTGTCACTGAAAATTCAGAAGTTCGTGGAAAAATTAAACAGAACTGCAAATTTCCGATCCATTCCTTTTTTCTAGGTGATTTAGGGGAAAAGAAGTCATGAAATTTCAGATTGCACTGAAAATTCAATGCAATTTGACACTGAATATTCCTATTGGACTGGAAATCCAAATAAATTGAGGAATTCTCGTCTTTATGCCGCTTAAAATTCTGGAATTTTACTGAGTTTTCAGTGAAACCTGGAATTTCATGATTTTTTCCCCTAAATCGCATTCAGTGTCACAGTCCTGAAAATTGGTAGTCAACTGTCCATGAAATTTAATTTTTTTTCTGACAGTGTAATTTTAGTTGCTATTCACAATCGTTGAAAAAGTAACGCATTATTGCAATAATTGTTGAGAAATCGTGGGTATCCTGTCGGCCCAATGATTGATGAAAATTCAGTGAACAATTTCAGCTATCGAAGTGCAATTTCGGGAAATCTTGTCATTGAAAATTCAGAATTTCCGGGAAAAATCAAACAGAACTGCAAATTTCCGTTCCATTTTTCCCCGAAAGTGGAAACCTTCCCTCAATGTGATTTAGGGGGAAAAAATCATGAAATTTCAGATTGCACTGAAAATTCAATGCAATTTGACACTGAATATTCCTATTAGACTGGAAATCCAAATAAATTGAGGAATTCTCGTCTTTATGCCGCTTAAAATTCTGGAGTTTTACTGAATTTTCAGTGAAACCTGAAATTTCATGATTTTTTTACCTAAATCGCATTCAGTGTCACAGTCCTGAAAATTGGTAGTCAACTGTCCATAAAATTTCATTTTTTTTCTGACAGTGTAATTTTGCTATTCACGATCGTTGAAAAAGTAATGCATTATTGTAATAATTTTTGAGAAATCGTGGATACTCTGTCGGGCCATTGATTGATGAAAATTCAGTGAAAACTTTTAGCTGTCGAAGTGCAACATCTGGTGATGCATTCAACAGTTGAGCACTCCCAATAATTGCCGTAAAATTTGTTAATCCCCGAGCATGACATGCGTTTACAACACGTTCTCTTTAACAATAATTTTGTAGCGGTTCTCTTATGGAGGAATGATTGAAGTTTAAAAAATTCGCGAACGGGAATTGTTCAATTGCGGGGAGACTGACGTGTGAATTTTTTTATTGTAATGGACTTTCCGTTAGGTTGTTTGTAGCTGAAGCCATGGTTGCCTCCTCAGTATGTTGTAGGCTGACAAGTCCTGTGCGAGTGACCAGTAGATAACGTAAACACGCGACAAATGTTAATATGCATTAATTTTCTGTTTCGTTGGAGTGGAAACAGTGGCTCATAGTGTTGAATTCTTACAGAATATGGGGCCCTTGGAGAAGGCATATCGTTACTTGATGGAGGGAATAGCGGGTGAGTCGGGCTGTATTAATTAATTTATTTTCTTTCAACTTTTTTTTTCTTCCGAAACTAGGGTATCTTCGTCCATGCATTAGCGAACAATTGGAATTTACACAATTTTTTTCGTGGTGTTTGTTCAGAGTATTTTAGTTTTTTAACATTTGAAATTTCGTTTACGGAAATATTTATAGTTATGTGTAACTATTTATAACTATAGACATCTATAACTACAGCTACGGCTCTAGTAATACCAGTGAATAAAGTTAAATTATAAAACCGTTGCATGAATTTTTTAAAAAGAGATTCTCAATTTCATCTGTCAACACTTTTTTTTGTTATTTATGATGGCAAATAGGAGAGTCAGGAAGATTTTACTATTTTTCAGATCCCAGGGTGGCTGATTGGCCGCTAATGGCTAATCCCATTCCCGTCACCTGTGTGCTCATAGCTTATCTGATGTTCGTACTTTATATTGGTCCAATGATCATGAAAAATCGACCTCCGTACTCCCTCAACAAACTCATGATATTCTACAATGTATTCGTTGCTATCACAAGTGGCCTAGTATTTTATGGCGTAAGTGTGGGGCTATTTATCGTTGTCTTCTTTGGATAAATGGGAGGCCAAATGAGTGGTTTATTCGGTGGTTTATTATTTATTTACAGATACTGACGTCAGGATTTACTACCAAACTGTCCTGGGGTTGTGAGCCTGTGGATTACTCTTTAGATCCTGAGCCGATGAGTGTGAGTTTATTTTTTGGAGGGATTGTATTCTGATTTTGAGGAAAAATCTTTGGGTTTCGGGGATTAATTCCTCATTTTTTAGGAATTGATCCTCAATTTTTGGAAGGTTATTCCCGATTTTAGGCATTAATAGTTATAAAATTTAAGGATGCAATCGCGGACATTTCAGTTGCAGAGAATTTTGAAGGAACAAATATTTAGATATTCTCAATAATTCTAGAATAATTGAATTTATAATTATTCACGAATATAAATTGCATTTTTCCTTCAATTATAATTATTTTTTGCAGTTAAGAATCGGTGGAGTTGAGGTCGATCTTTGAATTTTCATGTTTTCAACAGCAATTATGAATAAATAAAATCACATTTTCCATGAAATATTTAATATTCATGAAAAATTGTTGAAGAAATCATGAAATTCTCCTGAAGTTTCATATTACGAGGCAGAATTTTTTATGTTTACGAGCTGAAACGACAAAATTTTCCAATATTGTTGAAGTCTTCTGTTTTCCGGGGCAACTCAGCATAAATCCCTCTATATTATAAAACTCCAAATAGATTTCTGGTGATAAAAATTTGGTATTTGTAATTAAGATTCCAAAAGTAAGGGTCGTAAGGGTCAAAATAAGGTTACGAGTGCCAGAATAGGGCTCATGAGGGTCAAAGTAAGGCTCATAAGGGTTTTAATCAAACCAGAAACAATTAAAAAATAAAATCATATTTTCCATACAATATTCAATAATCGTGAATTATCCAAAAAAATTGAATTCTTCTGCAATGTCATATTACGATACGACTAACATCCCAAAATTTTCGAATATTGCAAAAAGTCTCTCATTTTCCCGAAAACTCAGCATAAATATTCCATAAAAATCTGAAAATTCATGAACATTTTCCGTAAAAAAGCCACCTTCATAAATATTAAAACTGATATGAAGGCATTAAAAAAACTCTTCTTCCAGATGGCGAGATGGGTATGGTGGGTGTTAATTCTGAAAATGTTTGAGCTCGGTGATACCGTAATCTTCGTGCTGCGTAAAAAATTCAGCCAGTGTTCTTTTCTGCACATCTATCATCACGTAACGACCGTCTGCCTCGCTTGGATCGCTTGTAAATACGCTCCCGGTAGGATTTGAGTTATGAAAATTTCATCCATCTATCTACCGAAAAGTTGATCCACTAACCATTTATTACCTCTCATATTTTTTTTTCCCCTTGTACTTCAGGTGGCATGTGGACATTTATTATGATGCCAAACTGCATCGTTCACGTTATTATGTATACGTACTATCTTCTAGCTAGTTTTGGCCCAGCTATGCAGAAGATTCTTGCTCCATGGAAGCCATACTTAACCATGCTGCAAATGGTAATTTATGCACTATGTACATTTATTTCCCCAATAACTCACAGTGTATCGTGTAGTATGAAAAAAAATAGCCGATAAGAATTACGATCCTTCAATTGTCCCCTCATTCCCCTCGTAATTCACGAACGATAACGTCGTCGTTTATTTTTATATTTCAGCTCCAATTTGTGATTATGGTCATACACACGACTCAAGCGCTTTTACCGTCCTGCGAGCCCACCCGTAAGCCACTGGCTTACATTTACATGTCTCAAGTGATCGTAATATTTTATCTGTTCTGGGATTTTTACAGAACAACGTATTTGAAGAGAAAAACCGCCTAGTGTGCATTATGATTTTCGTTGTCATCGAATATGTCATTTCTGTGCCTTATTTTGTACTTTTTCTTAAAAAAAGTAAAAGCTTTTTGATGATTTTATTGTGCTTAAATTTTGTACGCTATATTTTTATTAATTCACCTGATGTCCTTCAAAAAAAGCATTCGCAATATCTTGGACTGAAAATGAGAACTCGAGCACGTAAGGCATATTTGTCCGAATCATTTAGGTCAGAGGAAAATAGAATAATTCTACGAAGATAATTACACGCAAAGAATATACTTGAGTCAAGTATATTTTATAGGCGAATGGGGGAGGGTTGTTTCAATTCGAGGATGATTATTTCGAATCAGCCCGGGTCGCATCAAACGCTCTCAACTGTAATGTAAGGGTCAGACACTGAGTGGGAGAATCTAAGGGTCAAAAAGTGTAGGTTAGAAAATGAGGGTCGGAACATTAGAGTGAAAAACTGAGGGCCTGAATAATGAGTTCAAGGAATGAGGGTCAGGATGTTAGGGTTAAAAAATGAGGGTCAGAATATTAGGGTGTCAGGCAATGAGGGTCATATAAGGGCTAAAAACGGTGATCAAGCATAATATATGACTTATATTTAGACCCTCATTGCCTGACACCCTAATATTCTGACCCTCATTTTTTAACCTACACTATTTGACCCTTATATTCTGACACTTAATGCCTGACCCTTATATTACCCTTGAGAGGGCTCGTTACAATCCGGCCTGATCCTAAAGAATCATCTCGAATTGAAATACCCATTCCGCAATTGAGTATAAAATACACTTGATTCAAATATATTTTATAGTCAATTCAGGTATGTTTCCGTGTAGGAGAATGATTATAAACAATTGATTGAAGACAGGAACATCGAATCTGACTCGGAAAAGGGCATGAAAGGGTGGCGCTAGTGTAATCAAAAGCGCACGGAGAGGAGAGCCTTCATTGATATGAGAGTGAAAATGATAAATGAAGTGACGGTGACTCGTGATCCCCCCGCTCTCTTTTTTAGATATAGACTTTAATACGACCTGAATTATCGCTGCCAATGGATGCATGCTGGCCACGAATTAGCATAGGGGATTAGTGTGTCGGTGGGCTTCAAGTCGACACGCATGGTCGCACTACGATAAGACTTTATTAACGCGGCTACCAGCCATTTAACCCCTCGGTCCCTCTCAGGGGCTGATGGCGTGTTTATTATACAACTCCATCAAACCTTCTTTATTAATCTTCTTATTCTTCATTAATACCCGTGGTTACGACGAATATTTGAATAATTACGACGATATTATGACTCTTGTTGCAGTAATGGTCAAGGGAGATCAATCAGAGGGAATAAAAGAATGAAAATTTTTGGAGTAGTAATTGTGCTCGTGAGCCATTTATGTCTTTCGGGTAAATAGATTCGCGTTGCGGAAAATTTTCGTCTATCAAGTTGGTTAATTTTTCTCGAGTAAATCTGTTCCGCTTCATCAAATATTATTAAGTGGAACGTATCATTTTTCGGAAATATTTCGGAGTGTAAATCGCTCACATTAGAACGATGATTCTCTCTCCCACAAAAGCCATATTCATAAAGAACTTGGAGTACTAGCACTGGATCGCTCCTGACCCTAGTGACATCGACTTACCCGAGTTTCCGAGGAAAGTAATGATCTGAGTATTACCTCTCTGCGGATAAAGTCGACCTCGCAAGTGTAATTACACATCTCCGGAGCGAGGAGGAATAAAAATTCCAAATGAAATTTCAAATGACCGGAAATGCAGTAATAAGGAGGAGGAGGAGACGGAGTAGCATTAATAAGTCAAGAGTTGTTTTCTTCGGAATTATAGGGGCAATCGGAGGAGCTCTCCACTCCTCATTAAAATTTTAATGCGATTGTGGTGAAGAGCGAGGAGTTTCTCTCTCATGTCATGATTGAAGTGAAATTGAAAAAAATTGGGCAAAGAAGACAAAGTTTCTAGTTTTTTGTGGAAAACTCTGGATTTCGGAGAAAAGTCCTGGATTTAACGGAGTTTAGTATATTTCACTTAGTTTGAGATAATTTTTTTCAACAATCGGATAACAGGTTTTAGCTCTCAGCAAGTCCTATTTACTAAAGATGAAAGAAACGTTAAGTTGTTTTATATCGAAATATCTCGAAACTGCGTGACCGCTAATCCTCAATTCTGATTGGTCAATGAGTCACGTGAAGTAGTCGCTGAAAAAAATCCCCAGTATTTTCAAATTCTTCATGTGTGAAGTTGATCTTTATATCAAAACATATCTAAATTGCCTAATTGTTGATCATCAGAAAAAAACAGTATTTCTAAATTTTTTTGACTCACAAATTATTCTTCACTTCCCAAACTTTAATTTTTTTATGTTTATCATACGCAAAAATTATCAATTCTTGTTTCTCAGACTTTGATACATAAATTCTAAACTCTACAAAATTCATGAGAATTCTTCGCTTTCTACGGTTATCTGGAAAAATGTGAAATTTTCCGAAGAATTCAAGAAATTTTTTCAGTTTTCCAGGAAATCAATTCATAACCCTCCCCTTATATTTCGACAATTGCAGATTTTAATCAGATTATTTTAAAAAGTAAAAAAAAAAGAATTAATATGAGATTAAAAATTATTCATTGATGTTTCACTTTTCATTCTCTTAATTCTCTTCAAGTCATTATCAATATTTATAAAACATTTATGAGTATGTGAAGTTTAATAAATTCGCTTTCTTCATTTTCACAACGAATAGATAAGCGCGCGCACAGGCCTAGTTTCAGATTAAGACACATTAAGTGAACTTCATACCCTAATTTTTCTAGTGCGGTGTTGGAATCGCCGTTTTTTATTTTTTTCTTTTACTCCGCGACCACAACGGGATTCACCAGAGCAATAATTTCGGGTGATCCATCGGAACAATACAATATGAATCGGAGAGGATTTTTAGATTCACCGACACATACCGACCGCTCAATTTATAAATTGTACAATTGGCCGACGCCATTGGGCATAATATTTTTTATTGTTCATGCAACACTTTTTTTTCTTCCCTCTGCGCCATCCTTTTGTGCACTTTTTTCTAGCCAGGAGGATATAAAAAATAGCCACCCGCTGCCACTGACACGTTAGCCCGCTGTCGCTTGCAATTGGATTTTCAACGTTAGCGAGTTCGCGGGGCCGTCCCTCATCCACTTCTATTTCACGCTTTTTTGTATTTACCTTTTTAACATTGGAGGAATTATTTTCAATCAAAATTCACTCGGTGGCGTTTTTTTTTTTATTGAAAAACTTTGATACTTGATTTTTTTGGGTCGTCGGACATTTTTTTATTGAAAAGCTCGAGACTTAGTCACGACTCCCACGTTGTTGAACATTTTCGTCTGAATTTTCCGAGACAAATTTCGAAAATTTTTAGTATGTAGAAGTTCCACTGAAATTTCGGGAAATGTTGTCATTGAAAAATCAAATATTCCATTTATTTTTGCTTTAAATGATCTGGAAATCAACAAAATACTCGATTTTTCAGTTCAATTATTCTGTGAAAATTCAGAAAAATCAGAAAAACTCAGGGAGAAATTGAAAATTCCTCTCATTTTTTCTCGGATCATTTATTTATTATTTAAACATTGCAGGTCTGAATTTAAATCTCGATATTGAACCGTTAGAAAACATTTTTTAAATCTAAAAAAAAATTACAAAGTCAACCTTTGAAGAAAGATTGATGAAATAATTTTAATATTTCCATTTTTGAAAATTACTAGCATTTTCTATAAATAATTTATAAACAATCAATTTTCCACAATAAAATTAATTCGTTCAGAATCGTAACAAACTTATTCATATTCAAAATTTTACCAGAAATCGAGTTCATGCCTAAAAAAATTGGATTTACGAAAGTTTAAACAATTCCAATAATTTATTTATAAACGACGAATGTTAAAAAATAATAATTTTGTGCAAATCGTAAATTTAATGACACTGAATATTCATATTTTTTTCAAATTTTTCTCACGCAATTTAATTGACAAATTTAGTTTCGTCGTAGAACAGAATATTGAATTAATTGTCTTGAAAAATATTCACGAAAAGTGCCAAATTATAAATTCCCAAACTTTATAAACATTATCTATGAAAAACATATGGACAATCGTAAGAAAATTCCGTTATCCAGTAATATATCTTAAAAACGAAAAGATATTTCCTCCCCTAAATAACCCGACGAAAAACGATACTCAAGATGAGAAGTAAATGCCGAAAAAAGCGCAAAAAATGGACTCCACGAGCGGAGACAAGAGCCCCGGCGAAGAAGACGACGACGAAATTAAATTAAATTTAAATTAACTTCAATTAATTAAGCTGGCCCAGGACCCCGTGGGAACCCTGCGCCGGCGTTAACGCTCGGTCTCCATTCATCCCTCGTTTCTCACCATGAAATTCACACTACCCCATTCTCTCGATGCCGTCCCCCAATGGGGGTTGAGCGAAAATTCAGTGTATATTTCCTCATACAGTGTTTCAGCTCAAACGAGACACCTGACAGAGAGCAATTCTCGACAACTGTCCGCCCAAATGACGATGAATGCCGACGTAATCTCTTTCAAATTAGTGTCACATTTCCAAACGTCGCTAGGGGAGAAATTTCTGAGGGTTGAAATTATTAAATTCCTCAGTTGGATTCTTCACCGGAGGAAGGCTCTTTCGGATGGAATCTGATATCAGGCTGTTTGAGAAGTTCGTCTCAAATGAAGACATTGAGACATGCATTCTAAGCATCAAAATCAAAATTATGATGTTTCATTTGTTTTTTCAAATTAGCAATATGCCTCCAAATGGGTATTTGGCGCATCATCAAACAAATTTTTTAAGCCATCATTCAATCAATTCAGAAAATTTTTTTTAGTTATCGTGGGACAACCGATTTTCGAAAAAATTCGAAAATTACAAAACTAATCGATCAATTAAATTTTAATTAATGGCGATCGATAGGGCTCAACAATACCTACATTTGAAAACAAGAAAGATTTATTTCCATCCATTGACAGCACAATTCACAAACACTATATAACACACAAAAAATAACATTTAA